TTTTTTTTTAATAATGATTTTATTAAGGTTTTAAACAAAGAAAAAAAAAGAAAAACAACACACACAAAAAACAATACAAAACTTAACAATAAAAACAAAACATAACAATTAAAAACAAACTCTCTTTTCCATTTCCAATTTTAGATTACTTATTTTCTGGACTTCCTCAAACCTCCCTCTTTTGTATTCCAATCCACATTATTTGTCCAGCAGTTTCTTTTCCACTTTTTTATCCCAATCTTTAATTTGATAAAATGTTAAAATATATAACTTCAACTTTTTAAACCTAATCCTTACTCTTAATATCATATAGCTTTAAATTTTTCCCTTTTATTATCAAATTTCCATTTCTTTAAACATCTTTAATCTTAATCTTTAATCTTAATCTATCCTTAACTTTAACCTGTACAGCTGGAAACCACTTATTTTCAATCCAACATCACTCTAACATTCCTTAATTTTGCAGTGTTTCTGAAGATAGTCTTTGAATTTCTTCCAGTCTTCCTCCATCGACTCTTCTCCCTGGTCACGGATTCTGCCAGTCATTTCCGCCAATTCCATATAGTCCATAAGTTTCATCTGCCATTCCTCCAGCGTGGGAAGTTCTTCTGTCTTCCAATACTTTGCGATAAGTATTCTTGCTGCTGTTGTTGCATACATAAAGAAAGTTCTATCCTTTTTTAACACCGTTTGGCCCACTATGCCCAGGAGAAAGGCCTCTGGTTTCTTGGGGAAGGTATACTTAAATACCATTTTTAATTCATTATATATCATTTCCCAGAAAGCCTTAATCTTTGGGCACGTCCACCAAAGGTGAAAAAATGTACCTTCAGTTTCTTTACATTTCCAACATTTATTATCGGGCAAGTGATAGATTTTCGCAAGCTTGACTGGGGTTATGTACCATCTGTATATCATTTTCATAATATTCTCTCTTAAGGCATTACATGCCGTAAATTTCATACCTGTGGTCCATAACTGTTCCCAGTCAGCAAACATAATGTTATGTCCAACGTCCTGTGCCCATTTAATCATGGCCGATTTTACCGTTTCATCCTGAGTATTCCATTTCAGCAGCAAGTTATACATTCTTGACAAATTCTTAGTTTTGGGTTCTAACAATTCTGTTTCTAATTTGGATCTTTCCACCTGGAAGCCAATTTTCCTGTCCAATTTAAATGCCTCCATTATCTGATAATAATGAAGCCAGTCTCGCACTTTGTTTTTAGTTTTTCAAAACTCTGCAATTTCAGTCTATCTCCATCTTGTTCCAAAATTTCCCAATATTTCGGCCATTTGACCTCCATATTGACCTTTTTCAAGGCTTTCGCTTCCATTGGTGACAGCCACCTTGGGGTTTTATTTTCTAACAAATCCTTATATCTTAACCAAACATTAAATAGCGCTTTCCTGACAATGTGGTTTTTAAATGCTTTATGTGCTTTGACCTTATCATACCATAAATATGCATGCCATCCAAATACATTATGGAAACCTTCCAAGTCCAAAATGTCAGTGTTTTCAAGAAGTAGCCATTCTTTCAACCAGCAAAAGGCTGCTGATTCATAATAAAGTTTAAGGTCTGGCAGGGCAAATCCACCTCTTTCTTTTGCATCTGTTAGTATTTTAAATTTTATTCTAGGCTTCTTGCCCTGCCAGACAAATTTAGAGATATCTTTCTGCCACCTCTTGAAACAATCCATTTTGTCCACGATCTGCAAAGTTTGAAACAAAAACAACATTCTAGGCAATACATTCATTTTTATCACAGCAATACGGCCTAGCAGTGAAAGCTTCAAATTTGACCAAATTTCTAAATCTTTTTTCACTTCTGACCAACATTTTTCATAGTTATCTTTAAATAAGTTCCCATTTTTTGCTGTCATGTTAATCCCCAGGTATTTAACTTTCTTAACCACTGTTAAACCTGTCTCATTCTGAAACCTCTCTCTTTCAATCGGTGTTAAATTTTTCTCTAGAACCTTGGTTTTTGACTTGTTCAATTTAAATCCTGCCACTTGACCAAATTCTTGAATCAGTTCTAAAACCCTTTTTGTACTAGATTCTGGCTCCTGTAACGTCAATACTAAGTCATCTGCAAATGCTCTCAATTTATAATGTTTAATTCCGACCGTAAGATGTTAACTTAAAGACATGCCCATATTGTACTCCTACTGCCAGCGGACTACAGACTGTGTGTGATGGAGATCACAAGTCACTGTTTGTATTATCCCATAATCTTTGCTTTAACGTCTTTAGGGCGCCTTCTTAACCCAGGTAATACAGTTGGGGTGTGACAGACCAATAGAGGTGGCTTTTCTAGCCATGGTTTTCTGCCATTTGCTGACAAACTCCTCATTGGTCAGGTGTTGGTACAAACCCTTCCCTAGATCAAACACTGAAATCCTGAGCCAATGTTTTAGGGCAGCCCACCATGCTTTAGTTGAGATTGTGCATTCACCAGCTTCTAACAGAAGTATGGAGTTGGGGACACAGTTGGGTACGTGCAGCAGAGATCGTAAATTTTGCCTGAAAGCCTTCTAGCTCAGGCAGGTCCTCATTATGCCAGACATTTGCAGCGTACAGGAGTTGGGAAACGGATTTTGCATTGAAAAGCCTTAAGGCTGCTGGAACATGCTTATCATTACTTTTAAAAGAAGACTGTTGTGTCATCATTGTTCTTAAGAGGGAACCAAAGGGAATTTACCAGGAGCAATCCAATCTGGACAAGCCAGACTAGATTGCTCAATTTATATGGTTCTAACAAATCTGTCGGGACGCGGGTGGCGCTGTGGGTAAAACCTCGGCGCCTAGGACTTGCCGATCGCATGGTCAGCAGTTCGAATCCCCGCGCCAGGTGAGCGCCCGTGCGTCAGTCCCAGCGCCTGCCAACCTCGCAGATCGAAAGCACCCCCGGGTGCAAATAGGGACCACTTACTAGCGGGAAGGTAAACGGCGTTTCCGTGTACGGCTCTGGTTCGCCAGATGCAGCTTGTCACGCTGGCCACGTGACCCGGAAGTGTCTGCGGACAGCGCTGGTTCCCGGCCTATAGAGTGAGATGAGCGCACAACCCTAGAGTCTGTCAAGACTGGCCCGTACGGGCAGGGGTATCTTGACCTTTACCTTAACGAATCTGTCAACTAGTTTCCTGCTGTGTACTAGGGAATGTGCTCTCCTACCAGCTCACTAGCATGAGTGAGGAAGGATAATATTGAATCAATACATCCTCTCCCACTATCCACAACATTCTCACACCAGCAGCTACCACACATGCATCTCCATCAGCAGGGAGGCTGAGTGGACCTCCTTGGTCCGCCTTTTTCATCTGGATCCTGGAGTTCTGCTACAGCTTCTGGGGAAGAACAGACAGAAGGACAGAAGGAGAGCCTGATGGATCAAGCCAATGGCCCGGCCAGCCCAGCCTCTTGCTCTCACAGTGGCCGACCAGATGCCCCAAGGGGGAAAACAACAAGCAGAACCTGAGCACAAGAGCTGCTCTCCGCTCCTGCCCTTTCTAGCGACTGGCATTTAGAAGCCCTGCTGCCGCCAACTGATGCTATTTAAAGGCAAAAGCAGGGGCACCCAACAAAGGCATCTGAAACATTGCAGGGACTCAAAACAAAGCAACACACACACACACACACAGAGAGAGAGAGAGAGAGAAAGAGAAAGAGAGAGAGAGAGAGAGCACCCGTTCAATGCTCAAGAACCAATGCTTATGGCCCTCTTATCAGAATAAGGCAAGGGAACCCTATGAAACACTGAAGATCACCCAAAATAGCCATTTTTAAAAAAAATAGTTCCAAAGGTAGTAATGATGTTGGAGAGGAGAAGAGGGGAGAAGACCCGCGTTGCCCTGTGGGTGGGTCAGGGTCAGCCACAATCCCCAAATCCCCCTCCTGCCTGGCAGATTGGGCAAGAGCCCACATGGCAAAGAGCCAGACAGAAGCCCATCACCTTCACAATGCATATTGGGGAAACGCAATGCAGGCTGGGAGTTCACCAGGTGCAGCAAGAATAAGTGGTGCCAACTGATTCACGATAATAAAGGAATGTTTCCTTGGAAGGGGAAAGACGAATGAATAATTGCAGCCCTAAGGGACTGGGACTTTCTACCTGGCACCACACCTCTTTTCTGACATGATTCTGACATCTCCGATTAAGCTTCTTGAAATGTTGTATGGGAAATCATGGGAACATTTGAATTGGATATAGCCTTTTGCTCTGGGTTATTCTTTGCTTGCTTAGGAGTGGAAAATAAATGATCAGGCTTAATAGCCGCTGTTTGGCTTCTTTAACTGGGCTGTGGTCTCTTGCTTGAACCTGACCAATTTTGGACCCGCAGGGCCAAAAAAGTTGGGAAACCCCAAGTTTTGATACTTCCTTAGCACTATTGGCCCTCAAGACCCCTCTCCTCCCCCCTGAATTTGTCTAATCCTCTTTCAAAGCCTCTCAAGTTGGAGGCCATGGAGACCTCAAACGGCTGGTGACTTTTGGGATGGTTCTAATAAAAGGTGCTGAAGCTCAACATCAGCTGAGGACTTCAGAATTCTTAAATTACTGGCTACTTCAGAAGCACTTGACTTGGTCTTTGCCCTGGAGAAGGAATCATAGAACCACAGAACTGTGGAGTTGGAAGGGACCCTGAGGGCCATCTAGTCCAACCCCCAGCAGTGCAGGAATCTCAGCTAAAGCAACTCAACTAAAGAATCTCAACTAAAAGAGACATGGAGCATCACCATCTTTTTATTTGTACCCCACCCATCAGACAGGTTTGCCTGAGCCACTCTAGGTGGCTTTCTCAACAATTTATAAAACTACAAGACAGTCAAGCATTAAGAACTTCCCTGAACAGGGCTGCCTTCAGATGTCTTCTAAAAGTCTAGTAGTTGTTTATTTCCTTGACATCTGTGCTCTAAGTGCCTGGATGGGGGAGATATCTGTATTCCTGGGCTCACACTCAGCCTTTGAGTGGAAGAGTTGTCCAGGTGTGGGCAGTTGTAACTGATACGAGCCTCTGCAGAGGAGGCACTTTTACGCCATCCCTTAGTCAGTCCTTCTGGCTTCCTGTCTCCCCTGGAACAATTTCTGACGAGAAATCCCAAAGGGGCTCAGGGATGCCTGACCAGGGCTGTGTGTCTCCCTGCCAAGGCAAGGGGCAGCATTGGGGAACAGGGAGGCAGGCACCAGAGGCTTCCGATGGAGGTGGTGAGGAATCTAGTGAACCCTAAATTAATCCGCTTTTGCTGGATTAAGAGCTGTTCAGCAGTGGAACTCTCCTTCCTTGGAGGTTTTAAAGCAGTGGTTGGGTGGCCATTTGCCATGGGTGTTTCAGTTGAGATTCCTGCATCACAGGGGGGTCAGGCTGGATGACCTCTGTGGGTCCCTTCCAGCTCTACAATTCTATGATGGCTATTTTCAAGTATCTGAAGGGTTGTTTCATAAAAGATGGAGCAACCTTGTTTTTCTGCTGCTCCAGAGGCATAGACCCCAAAAGGGGTGGAGGAGCTTCTTCTGTTGCATCCTTGCGGACACCTCTTCCCTCTTCCAGGTGGAAGAAGAGAGGAAGGCTAGCCTGAAACTTCAAACAATTTAAATCCAGGCTAGCCTTCCTCTCTTCTTCCACTTGGACTCGCTGGAGTTAGAGGCTGCAGCCCAGGATGGGGACACCGTGGTCCTCCAGATATATTGGGACTTTGACTTCCCTCAGTCCCAAACAGCACAGCTCATGGTCAAAGATGATGGGAGATGGGTTGCATGGATACCCGGAGGGCCACAGATTCCCCAGCCCTGTGGTCATCAAACCCTGGGGGCAGCACTGTGCTGGAGGGACTCAATGATTAATCCCCCGACCCGGTGGCCTTGGAGAGATGCCCCACAGCTGGGCATACCTTGGCGCAATGGACCTGTTTGGGATGGAAAATGTCTCTGAACAGCCCCTTGAGATGCCCCCTCCCTCGTTCTCCACAGAGGCACCATAAAGGCTGCTTCCCGCTCAGCCAGGTGGCCTCAGAGCGATGCTCTGCGCAGGATGCAGCTGCTTGCAAAACTCCACCAGGAACCTCAGGAGCAGAAGAAGCTGCCTTAGACTGACCCGAACAACACCTTAACCTAGAGGTGGACCGCAGTGGCTGCGGTGGCTTTTCAGGGTCTCAGGCAGGGAGTCTCTCCAGCCCCCTGCCTGGAGTTGCTGAGGACCAGACTTGCATGTGAAGCAGATGGTCTCCTGGTGACTGACAGACCTCCCTGTGGCTCTGCAGGTGAGAGGGTTCGCTCTCGCCAGAATGGCTCTTCTCTGCCTCCACATGGGGAGGCCGCGGTGCATCTGAATGCCAGTTGCTTGTGACGGAAAAAAATGCCTGATTCCTGATACAGACTTTGTTCTAACTGTTCCAATGCTGCGCATTTAACCTTTTTTTTAGAGAGAGAGAGAATGTACCAATGAACGTTTTGATTCCTGTGTGCCTGCCTTCTCATGCCTTCCTCCTGCACTGAATGCCGGCCTTATCTGACCCTAGAAGGACTCAGGGTGTTTTGCTAGGGTGTTTTGACAAGCCAGGGAGAAAGATGTAGGAAGGGATGCCAGCGGCCCCTCACGGAAGACTGGTTGCCAAGGCAACTGGAGGTTATGTGCAAAAGCTGAGACCCAGACATTTCACACTCCTGCACCTGCAACCCTTTTCATGTATGCAATAATCATAGAATCATAGATCTGTAGAGTTGGATGGGACCCAAGGGGTAATAATAATAATAATAATAATAATAATAATAATAATAATAATTTATTATTTGTACACAGCCCATCTGGCTGGGTTTCCACAGCCACTCTGGGCGGCTTCCATAGAAACAAAAAATACAGTAAAATATCACAGATTAAAAGCTTCCCTGAACAGGGCTGCCTTAAGATGTCTTCTAAATGTCAGGTAGTTATTTATCGCTTTGACATCTGATGGGAGGGCGTTCCACAGGGCGGGCGCCACTACCGAGAAGGCCCTCTGCCTGGTTCCCTGTAGCTTTGCTTCTCGCAATGAGGGAACCGCCAGAAGGCCCTCGGCGCTGGACCTCAGCGTCTGGGCAGAACGATGGGGGTGGAGACGCTCCTTCAGGTATACTGGGCCGAGGCCATTTAGGGCTTTAAAGGTCAACACCAGCACTTTGAATTGTGCTCGGAAACGTACTGGGAGCCAATGTAGGTCTTTCAAGACCGATTTTTATGTGGTCTCGGCGGCCGCCCCCAGTCACCAGTCTAGCTGCCGTATTCTGGATTAATTGTAGTTTCCGGGTCACCTTCAAAGGTAGCCCCACGTAGAGCGCATTGCAGTAGTCCAAGCGGGAGATAACTAGAGCATGCACCACTCTGGCAAGACACTCCGCGGGCAGGAAGGGTCTCAGCCTGCGTACCAGGTGGAGTTGATAGACAGCTGCCCTGGATACAGAATTGACCTGTGCCTCCATGGACAGCTGTGAGTCCAAAATGCCTCCCAGGCTGTGCACCTGGTCCTTCAGGGGCACAGTTACCCCATTCAGGACCAGGGAGTCCTCCACACCAGCCCGCCCCCTGTCCCCCAAAAACAATACTTCTGTCTTGTCAGGATTCAACTTCAATCCATTAGCCGCCATCCATCCTCCAACCGCCTCCAGGCACTCACACAGGACCTTCACCGCCTTCACTGGTTCTGATTTGAAAGAGAGGTAGAGCTGGGTATCATCTGCATATTGATGGACACCCAGTCCAAATCCCCTGATGATCTCTCCCAGCGGCTTCATATAGATGTTAAAAATCATTGGGGAGAGGACGGAACCCTGAGGCACCCCACAAGAGAGGGCCCAGGGGTCTGAACACTCATCCCCCCCCCCCACCACTTTCTGAACACGGCCCAGGAGGAAGGAACAAAACCACTGTATAACAGTGCCCCCAGCTCCCAGCCCCTCTAGACGGTCCAGAAGGATGTTATGGTCGATTGTATCAAAGGCCGCTGAGAGATCCAGCAGAACCAGGAAACAACTCTCACCTTTGTCCCTAGCTCGCCGGAGATCATCAACCAGCATGACCAAGGCAGTTGCGGTCCCAGGATGTGGCCTGAATCCCTGATTGGAAGGGATCCAAATGGTCCGCATCCTCCAGGCGTGTCTGGAGTTGTTCAGCAACCACGCGCTCAGTCACCTTGCCCAAGAATGGAAGATTTGAGACTGGGCGATAGTTGGCCATACTGGCCGGGTCTAAAGATGGTTTTTTAAGAAGCGGTTTAATGACCGCCTCTTTCAGCGGATCTGGGAATGTTCCCTCACAGAGGGAAGCATTCACCACCCCGCAGAGCCCATCGCCCAGCCCTTCCCGGCTTGCTTTTATTAGCCAGGATGGGCAAGGATCAAGGAGACAGGTGGTTGCTTTCACGCGTCCAAGCAGCCTGTCCACATCCTTGGGGGTAACGGATTGAAATTGATTCCATGCAACTTGACCAGACAGAGCTCTAGCACTCTCCCGCCCCGGCCCTGCTGCCACAGTGGTGTCTAGCTCCTTCCGAATATGAGTGATTTAATCTGCAAAAAACTTTGCAAAATCGTTGCAGGAGATCTTGGGGTCTTTACAAGGCCCCGGTGGTAAAGGTGGTTCTGTTAAATTGCGAACCACCTGAAAGAGTCTCCTGCTACTATTTTCTGCAGATGCAATAGAGGCGGTGTAGAAAGTCTTCTTCGCTGTCGCTATCACCACTTGGTAGGCTCTGACGTTGAGCTCTAACCTGTGTCTGGTCAGATTCGAGTGAGTTTTCTGCCACTGACGCTCTAGCCGTCTCAGCGATTGTTTCATCGCCCTCAGCTCCGAAGAAAACCACGGGGCTGTCTGGGCTCCATGCAATCGGAGAGGGCGCTTGGAGCCAGACAGTCGATAGCCCTGGTTAACTCCGCATTCCAGCGGGCCACCAGGGAATCAGCTGAAAGGCCATCAACATGGGCTAAAGCATCCCCTACCACTCTCTGGAAACCATTTGGATCCATTAAGTGGTGGGGGCAGACCATCCAAATTGGTCCCACCTCCCTGCAGAGGGGAAGGGTCCAACCCCCTGCAACGGGGGTTAGAACTGCAGTGTTGGCTCTAGCTTCCTCCTTGTCCCTCTTGACTCCTACCCCCTTTCTACAGTCGCTCACCTATTCCCATTTGCCTCCATGCTCCTCTTGACTCCTGAATGTGAGACGGGTCCATTGGCTGCCATCATAGGTCACCATGGCCATCTTCAGGCATCTCTACTCGTGTCCAAATGGTTCTACCTGCTAGCCTGTTTCTTTTTTCTTGGCAGGGATGAAGTGACCCACACCTGGCCAGAGGCAGGAGGAGAATGCCACTGTCTAATGCCACCCACTTTCATTCCCCACGTGCATCTTGCTGGGGGTCCCAGGGCTGGAAGCTCTTCACTCCTGGATCTCCATCCCCTTCTGCCTCGGCTACGTCATCGCTCTCCTGGGCAACTGCACCATCCTCTTCATCATCAAAACGGAAGCCAGCCTCCACCAGCCCATGTTCTTCCTCCTCTCTTTCCTCTCCACCATCGACCTGGGCCTCTCCACCTCCACTCTGCCCAAAATGCTGGCCATCTTCTGGTTTGGCCTCGGGGAGATGGGCTTTGGCTCCTGCCTCGCCCAGATGTTCTTCATCCACACCTTCACGGGGATGGAGTCTGTTGTGCTGCTAGCCATGGCCTTTGACAGGTACGTGGCCATCTGTGACCCCTTGAGGTACACCACCATCCTGACCAAGCCACGGCTCGCCTGGATGTGCGCTGGCGTGGTTCTGAGACCCTCTATGCTGGTGGTGCCCATTGCCCTGTTGACTCTCCGCCTGCCCTTCTGCAGCGACCACATCATCATTGCCCACACCTACTGCGAGCACATGGGCATCGCCAAGCTGGCCTGCGCCGACATCCGGGTCAATGTCATCTACGGCCTCTTCGCCATTGCCTTCCTCATGCTAGATTTGGTCCTCATTATTCTGTCCTATGTGCTGATCTTGCGGTCTGTTTTCCGGCTCCCTCCAAAGAGGCCCGGCTCAAATCCCTGGGCACTTGTGGTTCCCACGTGGCTGTGATTTGTGTCTTCTACACTCCTGCCTTCTTCTCCTTCCTCACCCACCGCTCGGACGCAACATCCCCATTATGCACATATCCTCATTGCCAACCTCTACGTCATTTTGCCCCCGGTGCTCAACCCCGTAATTTACGGCATCCGGACCCGGGAGCTGCGCAGGAGGATCCTGCAGTTCTTGTTCTCCAAAAGGGCGCCTTTGTCCAACGTCTCCTGATTATCCTGCCTTGCAGGGGGTTGGACTAGATGACCCCCAGGGTCCCTCCCCACTCTACGATTCTATTTTGCATTCCTACAATCTGTTGAGTGGGAATTCAGATACGGAATCTGAGTGTTTTGTTTTGATCCTAAGAGATCCAATGTGGCGAAGGGACAGAGCTCAGAGGAAGGTCCTGCCTTCAGTCCCCACTGGCAGCCCCAGCTAAGGCTGGGAGAGAAACCCCAGAGAGCTGTTGCTGCCAGTCAGTGTGGGGCGCCCTGAGGTAGATGGACCGATGGCCTGATTCATAATTCTGTCATTCTATGATCCTGGCAAGCTGGACTCTGGCCTGATTCACTGCAGCACAGTTGGGAGGAGAAGAGGAGGAGGAACAATAACATTTTGACCATGTGCACAAGAATTCTTGTTGTTCTTGATATCCTGCCTTTCTCCCTGACAGGGACTCAAGGCAGCTTACACTTAAGATAGAAACAGCTAAACACATAGAAAAAGAGCAATAATTTAAGAAACAATTACATATTAATGGAATTAATAGTATATTGAAATAATTTAGAACATTCCCATAGAAGCAGCATGTCACCAGCGCTTTCATGCGAAGCCGTCACTTCCCCAAAGCCTCTTGGGACAAGGAAGTCTTGACCTGCCGGCAAAGACCCCAAGGAGAGAGCCAAGCTCATTTCTCCAGGAAGGAAGTTCCAAAGAATGTTTGTGTTAAACTGCAGTTGTTGTTCATAAAGCAGGTATACAAGGCTGTATGCAAAGTGGGCCAATGTCATCTTCATGCCTTTTTCATCTTAATTTTGGGAAGACACATCACTATACAGAGAGATTTAAGAATGCAATAAAGAATGCAGAAAAAAAATGGGAAAGAATATTTTAGGTTTCCCTCTATATTTGTGTAATTATTTTTTATGCACGTTATAGTAATGTTTTTAATGAAGCAATAAATGGGAAGGAAAAAAACCTATCTTTTCAGACTGATTTATTGCAATGCTTTGGCTTTCTGAAATGTGGTCCCCTCTGGACAACAAATACCATTAGCCATGCCACCCCAGATATGGGGCAGATATGGGGGGTGGGCAGGCAAAGAGAGAAGCTTGGTGCCTGTGGCTGGTGCAGGGCAAAGCAGGCAGACCCCCCATGCAGAAAATGGGAACAGGCCCTGGAGAAGACGGGAGGAGGAGCTCAGCTCCGCAGGATTCGCAGGGGAGTCTGCTGACCTTTTGGGGTCTCAGGGCGCAGAAATGGCTCCTCTTCCTTTAAGGGCCCTCAGACCTCCTGGGACACCCAAGAAGATTCCCTTGTTGCTTCTTTGAGTCAATGGAAGTTGCATTTCCTCATTGACAGGAGGGCTGTTGCTAAAGCATGCAATGCACCCTTCACACTTGGTTGTGTGTTAGGAACACAGGCACAAATGATTGTGTGTGTTTGTGTTTTGTATTTGTAAACTACCCCTGTCCCTGAGATTCCAGGGCTCCCAGGCGCTGACCAAAGATCCAATTTCCTTGGAAGGAAGGTCAGCGGAGACTGTGGCATCTTTATGATATGTAGTTTCATTTACTCACATATACAACCAGAGTGTAGGATGGAGGGGCTCACAGCACGGACACCCCCAGCAGGTCTGGCTTCTCCATCTGTCGCAGCTTTGGCTCCGGCACAGAGGAAGCCGGTCTCTGGGTCTCCCACAACTGTCTCTGGGTCTTGCTTTCCTAGCTAGACAGCCCCCCCCCCCCATTAGCCTGGGTTGCCCCATCCCTTTGCTGCAGTTCTTGCAACCCAGCTCCTTCTTTGGAGATGCTGAGGAGGACACTCTATGGCCAGAGAAGGCCCTTGTCTTGCCAAGAAACTTGTCTGTGGGAATCGTGCATCCATAATGCTATGGAAAGGGTGAATGTCTTCTAGAATTCTCTGGTGTCACCAGAAGAGGAAGCCATTTTTTTCCAGTTAGGTCTGTTATCAACTGCAGAGGATGAGTAGCCTTGGGAGTCTCTTGGGGAGATGGAAGTGTTGAAAGGACTGAATCCATGAGGGAGAGCTACTTGCTCTGAGATGGGGGAAACTTTGGGCAAAGGCCAGCAGAGAAGGGATGCTGTTGGCTGCTGGTTTCTGTTCCTCCCCACTTTCCCAAAGGGTGTAACATCTGAGGTCCTGTGGGTGGAAAGAGCGTCTCTGGGTCAGGGGCCAGTCTGGGCCAAAACGGCCCTCAGCTGCCCCCACCACAGAGTCCCTGGCTCTCGTCTATATTATTGCACTTTATGTGTTGTTTATGTGCAAGATAAACATTTGATATTGTGATAAGAATATATAGAAGAGTATTGTTTATGTGACTGCACAGCCAGTTACGTCTTGTGTGTTTGTCCTTTCCAGGAACAGCATTCCTGACCCAGATTTTCACAATAAGTCCCTAAGATGATTCCCCTTTCAAACAGGATACGTGAATCTAAGCCAGTAGGGTCCTCTTCTCTGGCAGACGGACATCCCCTTCCCCAAACCCCCACTTCCCCATGGGGGTCCCCCAAACCCCCAACCACTCACCAGGATGGCTTTGGCCACCTCCTGCTTGGAGCACTTTGTTGGAGGGGGATTTCCAGCCGGTGGCAGAGGACAGAGTGACTCCAGGAGACATAGGTGTAAAAACCCAAACTAAAACGAAGACTTTATTACAAAACAATAAACAAACTCTGGTGGGTGTTATTCCTGCAGGCAGGCTGCAAAACTCAGCTTTTTTTCCTTTATAGCAACGGCCAGCTGCAGCCAATTAATCCCAGAAACTTCTTAAAGGTATACACACATGTTTCTGTGCCAAATGTCCCCCAACACACTTCAGGGTTCAGAGCCCCTGAGCTGAGCTGCCTGGCAGTTCTGAATCACCTCCGGCAGGTACAGCTGATCTTCCTCCAGCAGCTGAAAGGCAAAAGTCAGGCTATCAGTTCCTCACGAAGGGACGGCTTCTCCACATCCGAGAGTGCAGAGTGGGGGGCAAGGAGGGCAGGTCTGAGTCCCTGCTCTGGTTCTCTCCAATACTCACCTCTGGGCGAGGGATGTGCAACCGCAGCACATCTTCAAAGAGAAGGACATGGGGACAGGTGAGTCCGTCCCTGAGCACCTGGCAAGGCTATTCCAAGAGTTTTCTCCTGGATTCCAAGTCCTACTGCAGGGGAGGGACATCCCAAGCCTTGGGGACCAATCCTGGCCTCCTTCCCCCAGAACGTGGCTCCCCAGGGAAGGTGCCCCTCCGGCAGATAACTGCCCCCAGCCTTGCCCCCCAGCCCAGCCCCCTGCTTCCTCCACCAGACTCCACAAACAGGGTTGGCCACTGGGTGGATTGGGTTTCCAGCCGCTGGCCCAGATGGACCTTGGGTCAGATCCAGCTATCTGGCTCTTTGCATCTTTTCACTAGCTGCCCCCCATGCCGATTCCTGCCCTCCTCTGTCCCAAAAAGGAGGGCCACTTGCTCACCTGGTGCCACGGGCTCAGTGGCGTAGCGTGGGTTGTCAGCACCCGGGGCAAGGCAAGTAATTTGCGCCCCCTAACCCGTGGATTTTAGCACTGATTTTAGCACTGCGAGTGCGAGCGCCCCCCCAGATGTTGCGCCCGGTGCGGCCGGGCCCCCCTGCACCCCCCATGCTACGCCACTGCACGGGCTGCTCGGGGACTTGCTGGGGGGGCCACCCTTTTGCAGCGTCTGAACAGGCGCCTTAAGCACCTGATCCTAGAAGGGATGAGTGGAGAGAGCGACTCAGAAGCCGGCAGCCCCAATTCTGGGGGGTTGCTTATGGGTGAGGAGGGGAGTTGAAGAGCTACAGCCATGCCAGGACCCAGAGAGCCTGCCCCCCCTCATTTCTGCCCTGCTTGCTGACTTGACCTGGAGGCTGCAGCCCGAGTGCTCAGCTGCTCCCACCAGTGAAGGTACTTTCTTATGCATGCTTTTAATGCTAATATACAAAAGTATATCATTTCCCCTTCCAGAAATGCTGAATTGCTAATTCAGGGGACACTGAAGTCCTTGCAGAGATTACAGGACAGCTTTCCAGATTAGGTAGCTGGGAGTGAGACAGTTGGCAGAGTGGCACTGGGCTCGCTAAGATGCCAGCTACTACAGGAATTGCTTTCTTGAGCCTTTTCAGCACTGCAATACCATTTCTTTAAAAGGTTGATTTTTAAGTCATGCCAGAGTGTGAGCAAATACTCCAGATCTGCCAAGCTTTCAGGAGCAGGACTAAGGGGTGAAATGAAGCCCCCCAGACCTCCAAAGGTTGAGGGAAAGGCTCTATCTCCCTTCTTCCTTTTCGTTATCAGTTATTTACACCTAAGAAATGGGAAGAAAGCAGCTGCTCATGTAAAGCGCTGGGTTTGTTGGGGTTGAGATTAACTAGCACATTGAGTGAGCTCTGTCCTCTTGCAACAGCTGGATACTGGCTTTGAAAGAAGTGAATGATTACTACAATATCTTACAAGGAGACATGGGAAACATGTTTTGGAAAATTGTACTGAATTGAATTAATTTGGCAATGACTTGTAATAATCTGGAAAAATCAATAAAAACAAATGACAAGAAATTCCGCCCACCTGCCAAGGCTGGAGAACTTTCTATCATTGTTCTGTAGCTGTGCCCTGTGAAAATCCAGGCTCACCTGCTGAACTGAAGCTCGGATAAGCAAAATCTCCCTTGGGATTTCCCACTTTAACCTCCTCCAAAAGTTTGAGGGAAAAGCTGTACCTCGTTTCTTCCTTTCCAGTATCAGTTATTTCCACCTAAGAAATTGCGGGCAAGAAGTTACTCTTGTAACTGCAGGGTTTGTTGGGGTAGAGATTAAGGAGCCAATGATGACATGATTTTTCAGCAATAAATATGATCTTATGTGTAAGTGAAGTCACATTTGAAACAATACAGAAGCAGTCAAAGGGAATTTCCTAGGAAGTGTTTTATTCAGTCTCACCTGCAATCATGTGTGCTGAACACACAGAAACATATAGATAATGTGAAATAACTGGGAGTTACAGACTCAAAATAACACACAAAACTTGCAAGCAGATTAATGGAATAATACACATGATTTCCCCACCTCTTTTTTTTATAAAAAATATTGCTTTTATTTATTTTCATGGTACAAAAGATAATTTTAAAGAAAGCAATGGTTACAACAATGGTAAACAACAAATAGATTGTCCTCGTGGAATTGCAGACTTTCATCCTGCCATGTGTTAAAGTTTCATTTGATTATTCTAAAAGATCACGCCACGTTTTCCCACGAGTGCTGGGTGGATTCCTGCAACAGTCTTAACAATTTATGTATTCAATAAACTTTGGTCACTTGTCATAAAAGGAATATGGATTGTGTTCCCCCACCTTTTGGATACTTAAATTGTGATGCCCAGAATTGAACACAGGATTCAAGGTGGGGTTTGACCAAGGCAACCTGCTCCTGCCAACATAGCAGTTCGAAAGCACGTCAAAGTGCAAGTAAATAAATAGGTACCGCTCCAGCGGGAAGGTAAACAGCGTTTCCATGCGCTGCTCTGGTTCACCAGAAGCGGCTTAGTCATGCTGGCCACATGACCTGGAAGCTGTACGCCGGCTCCCTTGGCCAATAAAGCGAGATGAGCGCCGCAACCCCAGAGTCGGCCACAACTGGACCCTAATGATCAGGGGTCCTAAAGGTATTTATTCTTGCCCTTGATCTGATTCTGCCTTCTGCCACATTGGCCTCCGCTCCCCATTTGGTGTCATCTGCAAATGTGATGAATACCCCCTTTTCCCAAAAGGTTACCACAATTTTGGCCTCTATTGTAAGTAGACATTTAAGATGCCTGGGCAGTTCAGTCCAGCCCAATCATGGTATAAAAAGGCAGAACTGGAGGAAGATGGTTCTCAGAAAAAACTGTAATTTACTCTTTCTTGTGGGGGTGTTAGGTTCCCAGGTGTTGTCGGGGTGCTGTTGAGCTCTGTGGAAATGTATGAGGTTTGTTACATAGAGGTATTTTAAAATTTCTGGTCAGGATCCAGCAACGCCCACTCCTCGTCCGTGAAACGAACAGCAACATCTTCAAAGCACACTGGACCCTGAAAGAAAAAGGGAAATGTCCTCCTCTGAGACAGCAGAAATATGATCTGCTACACAATGCTCTGTCTCCTTCCTTCCTCTTAATTGCTGCGTTATTTCAGTGGGATTGCTTTGCTGCACATTTTTATTCTGGATGCCTCTTTTGACGTTTTAATTGAATTATTTTATTCTGCTTTTAATTATGGGTATTCATCTTTGTGCAAATAGGTGGTTCTCTTCCTTGCGGTTTTCAAGTCATCCTGCCTACGCAGGGATTCCAGTTTCCCAGATGGAAGGATCCACTTTCTCCTCTCCTCGTGAGTTGTTCTGGGAAGGTTCCCTCCCAGTGCCCTACAGCCAAATTCAAGGGGTTCATGGGGGCATGGAGAGGGGGAGGAATGGGGGGCAGGCTATATTTCGCAGCAGATGGGGCTGGCTAGGTGAATCTTGGCCACTATTTGTTCTCGTCTGTCCGCTGCTTAGAAGCCTATTTCAGCACTCAGTGATGAATATAGAAATACAAGAAGCCTACTTTGGATGTCCATCTGTCTTGGGTGATCTAGCTGAGACTCCTGCAATGCAGGGGGTGGGACTTGATGACCCTTGGGGTCCCTTTCAACTCTAGGATTCCATGAAAACTGCAGCTACAGATGAATCCTACAGGTGACATTCAGAAGGCTGGTGTCACAGAGTTATCTGCGCAGGAAATCCCACAGTTCACAGCTGGAGGTCCTGATTTCTAGCCCTGCTGAAATAAGCACTGGCTACCAAGGAGGAACCAAGCGAAGTTCAAAATAAATCAATCGTATTGTCATCATAAATGAGTAATACTTTCTTATGCATGCTTTTGATGCTAATATAAAATAGTATGCCATTTCCCCTTCCAAAAATGCTGAATTTCTAATTCAGTGGACTAAAAATGGATGGTTGTTATGTTTAGGGAAGCTTTTAATATTTGATGGACTATTGTATTTTAATATTTTGTTGGAAGCCGCCCACAGTGGCTGGGGAAACCCAGCCAGATGGGTGGGGTATGAATAAATAAATAAATAAATAAATAAATAATTGAATTGATATACCGCCCTTCACCAAGAGATCTCAGGGACGTTGAAAACATAGAACTCATAAAAAGTATACAAATGATGCATCACCTCAAATTCTTTAAATAGGTGAGTTTTCTCCTTTGGAAAGAGGCAGGCGGAATCTCCACGGTTGCTAACAGAATAACGTTGAAAGGCTAGTGAAATATGGGGAACCAAGAGCATCTGCTTGGCATGCAGAATGTCCCAGGGTCAGCCCCTGGCATCTCCTGCAAGGGCTGGATGAGACCCCTGCCTGAAACTGGGGGGAGCTGCTGCCAGTCAGTGTGGACTATACAGGGTTAGAGGGAGCCCTTTGTTGGGCTCAGCAGATGGCAACTTCCGATGTTCCTTTGGAGGCTTCATCAAAACTCCGCAAGATCAAAAGGGATAGAAATTCCTGCTCCATCTTTCCTTATAAATAGAGAGCAAAGAGTAGGAATGAAGGCACACAGGCAGGAAGAGCAAGATCTCTATAGACCATATAAAAAGATGTCGCCTTCCTAGAGGCTGATAACCGCAAGAAGAGGCTGATAACCTGCAAGATTTTCTTTTCTTTTCATTGCTAACATGCGTGGGCTGAATAAACAGGTGTTGTTGCTCTGCTGCCCAGGAGGACTCCCCTGTGTGAGTGCCTGAGGGCCCTGCTCTTGCCACTTACCACCTGGCCCAGGGCGGGGCCTGACAGGCCTCACAAGGACTGCTCCTGCCACCTACTATCTGGCCCAGGGTGGGGCCTCACAAGGATGGTTGTTGCCACTGATGCTGCTACTGCCCAGGAGGACCCGGAGGGGTGCAGAGTTTAACATATTTTAAAATCTCCCTTTCCCTTTAGATTTTTTATATATGGGGGTGGGATGGATGTTTGGGTGGGCTTGGGAATTTGTTAGATTTTGATGAATTTGTAATTTTTGCAGTTTTTATTTGTATTGTTTTATTGTTTTCCGGGTTGTTTTTGTTTTTTGTTTTTATTGTTTTAAGGTTTTATTGTTTTAGGCTGCGAAAGAATAACATCAATTGCCATCAATGGAGGCTACTATGAGGTTTGGGATTGCTACCGTGGAGGGGCGAGGGAGGTATGGTGGTGGGGGCAGATGTTATAGGCGAAGGGGATCGAGATATGGATATGCTCGTACCCCTTCCAATCTGTGCCTCATCCCGAGGGACGAGGGTAGGGTGAGCAAGGATTACTCACCTCTGTCACTGGTGCTGTGCAATGCCAGGTCTATAGGCAACAAAACCGCCACCCTGCGAGATTTCTTTATCTCGCAAGGGGTTGACATGGCTTGTGTGACGGAGACCTGGGTGCGCGAAGGGGCAACAGTTACCTTACGAGAGATGGCGCCCCCGGGTTTCTCTGTCCTCCACCAGTCGCGGACTGTGGGCCGGGGAGGGTAGCATTATTAATCCGGGAAGATTGTCCTTTCAGGGCTCTACCATCGCCATCGATCCCCGGCATTGAATGTGTTGGCCTAGTGTGGGGCTCCAAGGAGAGCTTGGCTGTCTGGCTGGTGTACCGGCCACCTAGCGCACCAGCAGCCACCCTGTCAGGCCTATTGGAGGCGGTGGCCGGCTGGGCCTTGGAGTTCCCTAACCTATTGGTATTGGGGGACTTCAACATCCATGCTGATGCCACTCCCCCCTCACAGGCTCTGGACCTGGTGTCTTCCATGGCGACACTAGGGCTCTCCCAGTTTGTTTCGGGCCCCGCACATCAAGCAGGCCACACGCTGGATTTGATCTTTGGCGTCGGTATAGATGTGATCATGTCTCCTTCGATGAAGGTGCCATGGTCTGATCACTACGCTCTGAAAGCCAGGATTGACTTTCCACCCCCACCCTGCTTAGGTGGCGAGCCGATTTGGGCTCGCCCGCAGAGGCTGATGGACCCTGATAGATTCCGTCAAGCCTTGCGGGACCTTGCTCCCCCGGCGACTCATTGACTGAGCTTGTTGAGGGCTGGAATATCCAGCTCCTGGCAGCCAACGATGAGATCGCACCTAAGTGCCCTCTGCGACCCCGCAGAAACCGGGCTCCCTGGTTTACCGAGGAGCTCCGGAAAATGAAGCGGGACCTCAGACGGCTAGAGCGAGTATGGCGGGGTGCCCGTGACGGAGCCTCAAGAACATCTTATAGGGCTTTATGAAAACCTACGAGATGGCGGTGAAGGCTGCTAAGAAGTCTTACTTCTCGGCCTCCATTGCATCCGATAGCTCTCGCCCGGCGCAATTATTTAGTATAATTAGGTCTTAAATGTCCCTTGAGGGACAGCCAAATTTAAATAACAATTTGACACACAGCTGTGAGGCATTTGCGAGCTTTTTTGCGGAGAAGGTCTTGTTGCTCCGCCATGACCTCCCTGCCAATTTGGATACAATAAAGGAACTGGAGGCCCCTTGACTGTCCTCGGGTCCAGTATTGGACCACTTCAACCGGATATCCCCAGCCGATGTGGACAGACTCCTCCGAGCTGGAAAGCCCACCACCTGTCCTCTCGACCCGTGCCCGTCTTGGCTGATTAGAGAGTGTCCAGGCGAGGTGCGGGCCCCTGGGGGATATCATCAATTTGTCCCTTGGCACGGGGACATTCCCAGGGAACTGAAGGAGGCAGTGGTGCGCCCGCTCTTAAAGAAAACATCTTTAGATCTATCCAATTACCGCCCGGTTTCGAATCTTCCGTTCCTGGGTAAGGTGATTGAGAGACGGTTGCTGAACAGCTTGTGGGTTTCTGGATGAAACATCGGCTCTGGATCCATTCCAGTCCGGCTTCCATGCTGGTCATGGGACCGAGACGGCTCTGGTTGCCCTAACAGATGATCTTCGTAGACAGCTGGATCGAGGTGGGTCAGGGCTGCTGATTCTTCTAGATCTGTCAGCAGCTTTCGACATGGCCTTGCCGGCGTGGGGATCCAGGGCACAGTCTTTCAATGGCTGCGCTCGTTTCTCTCTGGTCGGGGACAGAGGGTGGCACTTAGGGGGGAATTGTCATCGTGCCACTCCTTGGTGTGTGGAGTACCTCAGGGTGCGATACTCTCCCCGATGCTTTTCAACATCTTTATGCGCCCCCTCGCCCAGCTTTTCCGGAGTTTTGGGCTGGGTTGCCATCAGTATGCTGATGACACCCAACTCTATCTGTTGATGGATGGCTATCCTGACTTGGCCCCAGACACACTGACCAGATGTTTGTTTGTTTTTTTTTAATAATTTTTTATTGAGGTTTTAAACAAAGAAAAAGAAAGACAACACACATAAAAACAATACAAAACTTAACAATAAAAACACAAAACATAACAATTAAAAACAAACTCTCTTTTCCATTTCCGATTTTAAATTACTTATTTTCTGGACTTCCTCATACCTCCCTCTTTGTATTCCAATCCACATTATTTATCCAGCAGTTTCTTTTCCACTTTTTAATCCCAATCTTGAATTTAATAAAATGTTAAAATATATAACTTCAACTTTTTAAACCTAATCCTTGATCTTAATATCCTGTAACTTTAAAGTTTTCCCTTTTAAAATCAAATTTCCATTTCTTTAAACTTCTTTAATCTTAATCTTTAATCTTAATCTATCCTTAACTTTAACCTGTGCAGCTGGAAACCACTTATTTTCAATCCAACATCACTCTAACATTCCTTAATTTTGCAGTGTTTCTGAAGATAGTCTTTAAATTTCTTCCAGTCTTCCTCCATCGACTCTTCTCCCTGGTCACGGATTCTACCAGTCATTTCCGCCAATTCCATATAGTCCATAAGTTTCATCTGCCATTCCTCCAGCGTGGGAAGTTCTTGTGTCTTCCAATGCTTTGCGATGAGTATTCTTGCTGCTGTTGTTGCATACATAAAGAAAGTTCTATCCTTTTTAACACCATTTGGCCGACTATGCCCAGGAGAAAGGCCTCTGGTTTTCTTAGGAAAGGTATACTTAAATACCTTTTTAATTCATTATATATCTTTTCCCAGAAAGCCTTAATCTTTGGGCATGTCCACCAGAGGTGAAAAAATGTACCTTCAGTTTCTTTACATTTCCAACATTTGTTATCGGGCAAGTGATAGATTTTCGCAAGCTTGACTGGTGTCATGTACCACCTGTATATCATTTTCATAATATTCTCTCTTAAGGCATTACATGCCGTACACTTCATACCTGTGGTCCATAACTGTTCCCAGTCAGCCATCATTATGCATCTGCCTGGGATTTCTGGAGGGTCTCCGCCTTCACCGCGGCGGCAAGACCCGATTTTTGCGGAGTGGGTTCCTCCCGGTCAGAGGAACTCCGCCATTGCCGATGGCGCTAACCCGGAAGTCCCTCCTTCTTTGGAGGTCTTTAAGCAGAGGCTTGACAACCATATGTCAGGAGTGCTCTGATGGTGTTTCCTGCTTGGCAGGGGGTTGGACTCAATGGCTCTTGTGGTCTATTCCAACTCTATGATTCTATGATTCCCTGTGAACAGCCCTTCAGATACAACAGAATAGCAGAACCCTTCACAGAGATGGAAGGGAACCACCAGGGCCATCTAGTCCAACCCCCTGCAATGCAGGAATCTTTTGCCCAAGATTGAAACCACAACCTGGAGGTTAAGAGTCTCATGCTTTACTGACTGAGGTATATCAAAGTTCAGCATTTTTTCCTCATTTTTGTGCCAGGTTAGGCTTGTTAGAATATAGTTCCACTCCACCTTAAAAGGGTACAGGCATGACGTTTGTGTGTCACATGCCTGTTTACTCCCAGCACTGCTGGCAACTTCCGTCCTGTGTAGCTTCTGTGTTACGGCTTTTTCGCTGGACACGAAGGCAAGCAGTCATGGTTTCCTTTGTTCCTGGACTACGCTGAGTAAATGCTGTACATTTTTGCTTGCACATATTCCTCTGTCCGCCTTGATACGGAAGGGGGGGGCATGTCTTCCGTCACCCTTCTGCCGACCACCAGAAGGTCCAAGGCGATGACCTCAAGGGCTCTCAACCCCGCGTGGACCCCTCAGCCCCCACACCGTTACACAAGCACCACACTCTGCCCCAAGCCCCTTAAATGAAGTGCCTCTCCTGCCCTGATCCGCTATTACAGGCGAAATAAGCCCAAGTTCTTATGCCTCTTTTCCCGCTCTATCTTTACTGTGGGTTGACCGTACGAAGCTGTATTCCCCATTCGTTTCAATGGCCACGTTCTGTCCAATCAGAACCATGCATTCGCTTTGCAGAGCTAGCTCAGCGAGCTCCTGCACGCCTCATTTAACCTCTTGACAAGCTGCTGACGGCTCCCCGCTGGGAGAACAATGGAACCGAAACTTGTGAACTCATAAAAGTGTCAAATCTTGCTACAATGTATCTTATTTTGTTTCCGACTTCAATCACCAATATAAAATGGACTAAAATGGACTAAAACCTTTGGAAATTCATATAAAATCAACCACAACTCCGATTTCCTTGCTTTTGGTGTCAATCGGCTCAGTCTCCTCGGGACTCCATGACGAGCTGGGTGGCAGAGTAGCCCCGCACCCAGATTTTACCGTAACAGCCTCTTTCGTTGTGGATGATTTATACACTCTACTGACAGATGATTTATACACGGGTCTTGGAACATAACTGAGGCTCGTGTCGCTAACTGATTGATGCTGTTCCATGGGAGACCGGTGATCGTCCGGAGCAAGCTGGGGCCTGCCTGATGCCCCCGTCTCCCTAGCAGTATCTCAAGAAAGCTAGGCCATTTTGCTTGGACAATTTAAGACCATGAGTCTCTTGTCAGATTTTAGCTGGCCCACATTCATCTGAGACTACATAACATTGTGGCTGTCTTTAACCCCATATATATATATATATATATATATATATATATATTCCCATGTAGTGTGAGCGCTGCTGCTTTGCATGCAGTAGATCGATCCCAGGTTCAATCCTCAATATCTTCAGGTAGAGCTGGGAATGTCCCCTGTCTGAAACCCTCACCGCTGCCAGTAACGGAAGACAATAAACTCAGCTTCCTGTGTTCCATAAGCCGCTACTATTATATCCTATCAGGTGCTTTAACAGGGAACTATCTCATATAACTTATGTAAGATGATACTTTTTTTCTGTGTTCATTTTCCTGTAATCTCTTGTGAAAGGAAAGCACCTCTGAACAATAATATGCTTTCCCTTGGATATGTTCCAGCTAGTTCTGCAATCTGATATTGAGTGTGTACTTAAGAATTATTGTGGGTCAAAGGAACACAAGCATGAATGGCTGGGATCACCCTGGGCAGTGCAACAAAAGCCCTGCTAGTGCTTAGAATGCAAAAGTCACACTGATCTGTCCTCTTTGTGCCCAAAAATGGCCTGAAGTGTTGCACTGCTATAACAGCGGACAATTCCTTCTGGATCTTTTGCTTTTGTTTAAAACAATGGTGCTTCCTAATTTTGTTGTTTTCTGTGCAGATCACATTAGCTAGTTCTTGCTGCATAGCATCACTTGCTTATAGATTTCTTTCTCTTTTACACATGCATACATGAACACACACACCAGGTTAAGGGGGGGAAACCCCTTCCTGTCTGTTGCCAGATTTAGGCTTTATCTATAATTTCTGGCTCTGCTCTGCCGTGAGCCTCTTGGATGGTTTTAAATTTTTGCAGTCATTTAGGGTTTTGTTGTGGTTTTTTTTAAAAAAAAATCTGAATTTAAAAAGAAATCAACATTGCTAAAAACAAGGTGTTACACAATAAGATAATTTGTCTTAAAAAAACTAGGGGGGGATGTGGAGGTGTTGTATATATGTGCATTGTTAATGAGCAACTAAAAAAGTTTGTTTGTTTCCTGTTTTCCTTTCCCAAGCAGAGATAATGTGTATGTTGGGATACTGCCAGGGAGATAAAGTCCATCATGGCCCCAAGCCGTCTGCCGGACGATCCATCGACCTCCCGTAGGCACGCAGTATCATCAATTAGCGACATGAGTTTCTAGAAGATTTCTTGCCACATTCCAGAGCTCATGCACACTCTATCAGCAGATAATGCACAGCCAAAAGTTGCAATCAGGAGAGCATTATTTACAAGTTTATTCAGCGTTGATCAGAACACAGAAAAACGTGACTGCCTGCTTTAGTGTCTGCGACACAAGAGAGAAAACGAAAGCAACAGCAAACATAAACATCCTGTGAACAGGAAATACGCAGACTCTGACTCACAAAGCCTGCTCCCTTTTAAGGTGGAACGGAAATATCCTAACATCCTCCCCTTTCCGTGTAACCTGTAGTACCTGTGGTTCAACCCAATTGCAACCTTTGTACATAAACCTTAAGTTGTTCTCTGTTAACAACCTTAGACAACAGATCAGCAGGAATTTCATTTCCTGCCATGTAGGACACCTGAATGAGTCCTTTCTGAATACACTCTCTTGCACGATGTAGCTTAATCTGCAAGTACTTGGTCCTTGCTTGCAACTCTCCGAGTTCAGCAAAGCCAAACACGATCTATTGTCTTGATACACTTGTACAGGACATTTCACAGAAACTCTGATGTCCTTAAACAGTTGCATCAACCATTCACAATCCATGAGTGAAAATGACAGAGCATTGAGTTCTGCTTCACAGGAACTTAGGCTCACTGTCGTCTGCTTCTTGCACAGCCAGTCAAACAGACAGTGGTTGTACATGTAGCATACTCCAGAAGTGCTTGTACCATCCGTGGTGTCACTTCCAAAACTTGCATCTGCAAAGATTTCAAGACCTCCAGTCTTCTGACTGGTGAACCTCAGCCTGTAGTGCATAGTCCCTTTCAAATAGCGGGCTATGCGCTTCAGAGCTTTCCAATCCTGAACAGTAGGATTGTTGGCATGTCTGCTAAGCAGGTTACAGCTTACAGCTATGTCAGGTCTTGAGCATCTAGCAATGAAATTCAACTTGCCTAGAATGCATCTGTACAGCGTTGTGTCAGAAAACGCTTCAGCAGTACTGTCTACCTGGTAACCTGTCACCATCGGTGTGTCTGCTGGGTTTGCATCAACCAAATTCAACCTGGTTAATACATCAGCAATTTTCTGTGTTTGGTGTACCAGAAAATTACCTGCTTGGTCCCTCTCCACCTGCAGAGAAAGATAGTTGGATACCTCACCAAGATCCTTCATGTCAAAGTGCTCCTTCAGCTGAGCTAGGGTGCTTTGGTACAAAGCCTGATTCTTCCAAAACATCAGAAGATCATCAACAAAACATAAACAATACAGTTTGTTTTGCCCTCCTCCTTGACAAACACACATGGATCAGCTTTGCCCTGGTGAAAACCTAGAGAAAGCAACGTCTCAGTGAGTTTCGTGTTCCAACACCTGGCACTCTGCTTGAGACCATATAAGGATTTCCGCAGTTTACAGACCATTCCCTTCTGTATCTGCATCCCATCAGGTGGAAGCATAAACAGCTCCTCCCCAGAATCCCGTACAAAAAGCTGTATTAATGTCATGATGGGAAACATGCAGTTTCTCCTCTGCAGCTATCTTGAGCATCAGCCGAATGCTCTCATATTTGACTGTGGGAGAGTAGGTCTCGTGGTAATCCTGTCCTGGTACCTGTGAAAAACCTCTGGCAACCAATCTGGCTTTGTGTCTGACAACCTTGCCATTCTGGTCTGTCTTGGCCTTGAAGACCCATTTGCTGCCAACCAGTCTCATTCCTGGGACTACTGGTACCAGTTCCCAAGTTTGGTTCCTATTCAAGGAATCAACTTCAGCCTTCATGGCATTAAGCCAAGGCTCAGCATCTTTAGAGGTTAACTCCTGAACCTCTTTGAAGCTTGAAGGTTCCCACACCTTCTCTGAGCTACTAAGAACAGCAGTTGCTGTCTTAGCAAACTCATCAGCAAATCTCTTTGGAGGTCTGCCCTTTGTGGCTCTCTCAGATCTGCGTACTAGACGCAAGTCTTCTGGACTCATCTCCTCCTTCTTAGGAGAAAAGTGACCAATGGTGAACAGCGGTTCTTCCAGTTCATTGTCAGACGCATCAGATGGTCTGACTGAGGCCTTTGCGCTCTTGTAGTCTGCTGTGTCATCACTGTCACCGACATCAGCAGCAGCGCCGTCCACTGAACTGGAATCCGAACTCTGATCAT